AGCTGTCAGTCTGTGCTTCTCCCTGCCTCCATGGTGCGCTGCAGCTGTGCACGCGCACGGGCATTTATCGGCCACATCAGGCCTATTTCCAATGCAGCCAATTTCTTTTATATCTGTGCTGATTTGGTATCGGACCAATGTGTCACTGCACCTCTACCAAGCAGGAATTAACAGGTTTAAACTCGTTGAGTGCACACTTACAAGAACAGTTGGAATAATTGCTTACAATACAGGATTATTTCCATGTCATACGAAATAGTAATAGATGGGGGCTGGACTCGATGATCTTCCAAGGTCCTTTCCAGCCCTAATTTCTATGAAATCTAGAATCAAAGTCACATGAAATATAGCCAAAATAATCTTCTTGAGCTGCTCAGTTATTCATAGGCTGATCATATGGAAAACCTGGAAATCTGGAACATCATTCAGGTCACTGTTTCTGGCTCCACCCCCCACGTTTTCACAAGTTGGTGGGTCTTATGCCACGCAGGCAATGGTGCCTATTTTCCCGCTTGCAAGACACTCTGTACTACTCTGACTCCCAGCCAGACTGTACCCTTGTGTTTCCAGGATACCAGTTTTAATCCCAACAGCCAGCCGGGACCAGCCTCTGAAATCTAGGAGTGTCCCAGTTAAAATGGGACATAAGGTCACCCTAGCTATTCAGCATCTCTGAACTGCATTAATAACAACTTATTTGCAGTCAACAGGATACCTGCATTTATATTGGGCAAAGGTATCTGTTTTTGTTCCGTACTGGGAAAAGTTGTTTTTATTAATGCTGTTTAACTACTGTGTCTGTCTAATAATTAATAGAACAGGAAAAAAAAAACCCTTCTAGTTCAAAGCTTAATTTTAAATTGCCATGTCACTAATGAAATAAAATTAACTTTATAAAAACATGAGCTGTGTTTAAAACCAAACAGTCATAAATCTAGAAAATGTATTGCAGGTTTTTAGAGAGATGGTAAAATTATTTTGCTATTGACTTTAATACATAGTTCAGATTCATTACCTCGCCTGTGAGCACATCACTTTTGAATGATAATCCTTCACTGTGTACTAAACAAATAATTTTCCACTAGAGGGCAGTGGAAGCGTAAGAGGAGGTGGTGGTGGAAATGCCAGAGAGATCAAGATTAAGAAGACTAAAAAGAAAGGAAGAAAAGATGCTGACAGTGATGAGGAATCACAAGCAAGTAGCACAAGTTTGTAATGTTTGAATAGTTATCTATTCTTCCTGGCATGTGTACCTCCTGCTTTTGCATGTCTTTCTATATTTCTTCTCATTAGCTCTTTGAAAATCAGGCAAAATGTCAAGCAGTACTAGCATGTTGCTCAGGTTAAATTATATAAATGAAAAAAGTCTCAATTTAAGTCAGATAAGTATTGTAACATGACGCGAACATTATAAGCTATTGTAAAAATTCAAAGTAGGAGTTAGATCAGTTTTTGCTACAATCAACTTGATATACAAAATAAGTATCTTTAATTTTGGGATGGATATTGTGCTTGTTCTTTTCAATATCTGCTAAATAAGTTAGATAAATGTAGCAATTTTCATCTGGTTCCAAAATGTAACTGGCTTAAATTATCTGCCCCTAGTAATAACTGGTAATAATTCTTTGATTGTTTTCCCTCCAGAAAAAGAGTCATACATGATAATATTGATTCGGTGACCTACAGCGGGTGCAACTGAAAACCAAGTACAATAGCAACAGTTACTTCCTTTGCTAAATAAAGAAAGAAATTTGCTTGTAAATCCTAGCTTTTTAATGATAACTGTCATATATGGGGCTATGAATTAAAATAGCTACCAGAAGCTGTGTGGTTCATCCTGATAACTTGAAAGGCTCTGTTCAATGCCCAACAATAAGTAAAAGCTCTTTCAATAGATTTGTGGAGCCTGCATAAAATGAGATTATTCTTCAGACTACTCATCCACTAGGTGAAATGCTGTCAAATTTTTAAGCACAGTATAATCCTTCACTGGTAGTATTGATATGTTGTAACACGTATTGAGTTGAATAGCATTTGGAAAGTGCTGTTTGATAGACTTCATCACCAAATCACTTATTTGCTGGGCATGGCTTCTGTTAATCAACCAGACTTAATTGAAAACCCAGTGTAAAGTAATTTTAACTATATTATCCCTTTCAGGGCATTACAGAGTATTACAGAGTATCATTAAAATACAAAACTATGCAAACAGAAATAGGCAAAGGCCTATTTCTGTTTGCATAGTTTTGTATTTTAATGATCAACTTTCCCAGTTGATCTCCCATTTACAGACAGGTCTGTATCTCTCTTTATGTTCTGCTTAATGCACAGATTTTCTTTCCTGCTCTTGTTCCCAAGACACAGTCCTGTTATTAATTTAATCCATCCTAAAAGCACCCTTCTGTAGTGTCTGAAACAACTGTTAGTTTATAAATAAAACAGAAACCCAGCCAGATGCATTTGTGCACATCTGTGTGATTAAACTACTATAACCCTCATCACCTCCCTTATGTTACATTCTAAACTGAAATTCATGATACTCTGGCTTTATCCTTTACTTCAGGATAACACAAAATGAGTGGTGTAATTTAGTGAACTGTACAAAATACATTATGGTTTCCATTAACAAAACAGGCTGTGTACAATTCAGTGTCTCTCTCTCTCTCTCTCTCTCTCTCTCTCTCTCTCTCTCTCTCTCTCTCTCTCTGAAAGGTGTGTAAATGCAGTTGATTGTTTCCAAGTTAGTGTTCTGTACCAGATTCAAGAGAGACTGCACCAAGTGACAGATGGGAGAAAAATGTAAAGCTGATGTTTGTTGTATAGATAATTTATGAACTGTACAGTAGCAGTTTTCAGATCATGTGAAGAGAAATATCGCTAATTTATTTTTCCATATCACCATGGCAAGAGTCATTTTTTGATGTTTTCATTTGGGGTTAGAACTACGAGATGTCCACATGTCCTGTGCCACAGGACAGCTTCAACTAAATTAAGCTACGTGTTCTTTTATTAAAGCATTTCTCATGGCCATTACAGGTAGGAATAAGCATCTGGAAATGCTTTTCATGTCACAGGAAGAGATTCAGGATGTTTTAAGGAACCATATTCAAGACTGTCCTGAAGAACTTATTATAGAACTTGCTGAACATTTAATAAGGTAAGTGTACTCATTCATTAGATATTTCATCACTCATTTTAAATAAATCTTCTGGTTTGCTTGGTTGCCTAGAAAAAAAGGCGCTAACAGACATGAAAAAAAATGCTTTACCAGAAAAGGAAGTGTGTTTGTTTGACCAAGCTCCCCAGCATCTGTATAGATCTGATGCTTCAATGGGGATTTTTGGTGCTTGTATCTAAGAGCTGATCCAGTCTTCAAAACGCCCTGCTGAAGTGCCCAATGTATACAGATGTTCAGTGAGCCAAGTCAAACTAACATGATGCCTCTTCTGGCCATGCGCTGCACTTAGTGTGGGGGCGTGCTGAGCTGAAAATAAAGTGCTGATTTCTTGTTTGTTTGTTTTCATGTCTGTAAGCAGCCAAAAGATTTTCCTGTCAAAAGTCATAATCCTAACTCTGACTTCCTCTATATAAGGTTGTGTCTCTCCACAGAAAGATGTGCTGACAAAAATGGTGTGAAAAATGCTGTTTATTCCTGGCAGTTAATTGTATTGCATCATCTGTCAGCAACTGTTTTCTTTGTTGTGAAATGTTTACACCACTTGAAACCTGTTGTAACTTTCTCCTGCCAGTCCCTGATCTGATATGTGTTCATCAACCCTTTGAAACTATTTAGGACACCATTACTGGGACACTTCAGTGTACATGTTGTTTGGATTTAGGAACAAGCCTTGTAAAACTGAAGAAGTAAAGTCATGTTTAAAAGTAAAGATGTATTTACTCGGTTCTGGGACAGCCTTGAATTCAAAACAACCCCCCAATAACTAGATTCCACATAAGGCAAAATTTTAATTTGGTATTGTTTTTATAATACTGACAAAAAACTGTAACAGTAACAGTAAATCATAAATTCAACATTACTTTGAATTCAATTTACACTCAACTCAGTTTCTATTAAGATCTGTCCAGAACCTGGTGAGTGCTACTGTGCACTGGATCCCTCCCTACTTCTGCTTAGAGCCTCGACATGCATTAGTTCATTTGCTGAGTGCTGGGTCCCTTGTCACTGCAGCCAGGCAGCATGCAGGATTCCTGGCTCACCCATGCAGGGTCTTTCCGTGCCTGTCCAGCCCCTCTCCGCAGTGTGTGGTGCCTGGCTGGCACATACCAAGTTGCTTAGAGCTGCTGCCTGGCCAGTGGGTGCCAAGGCAACTCAGCAAGTGTTGGTCAGGCTCCTTGAATGCAGCTGGAGGACGTTTTTTTTCTTAATGTACTTGATTATCGCTACTTCTGTTTAATCTTTTAAGCTCTATTTAATACGTATCATCTTTTTTTTCTATTCTGAGGCCCCTAACAAAGAGCTATAAAGAAGTGGTACGTGATGTTTTCTTATCTTCAACTTCTTCATCTGGAGCTAGCAGGAAACGGACCATCAAGGACTTGCAGGAAGAGGTCTCAAACTTGTACAATAATATCAGATTATTTGAAAAGGGTGCAAAGCATTTTACAGGTAGAGCAAACTTTTCCTTTTAAAAATATCAAAAAATGATGAACCCTTAAGTAACAGACAAGTCTATACTGGAATGAATGTGGAGATATGACAGATTATTAAGGAGAAAAGTTTTGCTAAGACAGAGTTTACTAGATCTAATGATGTTTAAGAGTGCACGTGTCAAGGAGGGAGAAGTACTAATGCTACTTCATGGGTGTGAGAGCTCTGAATAGGAAAATTAGATTGAAACTGAAAAAAAGGAAATCAGGATTAATATCATGGGAAAACATCCTGATTGTGAAATTTGTTAAGTTACGGAGTAGTTTTCCAAGCAAAGCACTGGATGCTCATCACTAAATTGCTTAAAACAGGGTTGTCCAGCTGGTGGCCCATAAGCGCCATGTAGTACATGAGGGATTAAACCGCAGTCCCCCCAGGCTCCTGTCTGGCTGCAGAAGAATCTGAGGTCTCCAGGCTTCCTCTTCCTCCTCTACCCTATCCCTCAGTGCTGGAAAGCTGTAGTGTAATTTGGGTGTGGTGGGGGAAGCAACTGATACCCTCTTTTGTGGAGGAGTGCAAAAATAGCCACAGCTTGTAAGAGTGGCTGATCATGCTGCTGCAATCAGTAGTGCGGCAGCTGGCACTGCTCTTGCCATCACATGGCTGCCCTAGGTATAGAGGTAGATGGCTGTGCCTCTGGCTGTGGGGAGCCCGTGGTCTGGGGCACCTGAGAGGTACAGTGTAGCAGGGGAGCTGGCTTCCCAGGGATCTGAGGGTGAAGCAGTGCACCCAAGTGCATGGTGCAGCAAAGGAGGGAGCATAGGGCTGTGCAGTGCATGCACATGGTGCATGGCCATGGGGCCCTTGGCCCCTACTGATGCAGCCCTTACTAGAGCAGCCTGCAGGGCTTGTGTCCCCAGCTACTTATACATTGGCTTAAAAAAAGGATAGACAAATCACTAGAAAATGCACAGTAAAACAAGACTTCTCAAACCCATCATATTTTACAGTACATGTTAATTGGGATGGTCCTTCCTTGCATTCATAATCACCGTCATTATGGCAACTAATGCTGTTTCTTACATGTAGAAATACAGGATCAGACAAGTGTTTTAAGTATTGTGTACACTGTAAAATAGCTAGTGGCCTGCCTTCAGAAAATGTTAATTATACTGTCCTCTCTAGCTGTTCATTACATTTCTCCCTAGCTTCCATTCCTATCTGTCCTGTGAACGTGTTTCTTTGCTGCTGTTTTCTTTCTGTCTGAACCTGCCTTTCTGCTATTTGGTTCTGTATGTAGGCTGCCAGTTCCATGGGCAGATCTAGAACTTTTCAGAGATGGTGAGGTGCATCATCACATCTGAAACAACACTTTTTTTTCAGTTAAACAAGAAGCTTAACTAACGTGCTAGGGGCCTAGAGCTGTATTATTCAGTTTACGATTGAAGCAAAAACAATGTAACTTCATTGGAATGAGTTAAAAATCATCTGCAGGACTGAAATAGGAGCTTCATTATCTGGAGCAGCTAACAGACAGCAGAATTGCAGAACAAAGACTAGGTTGATTGGTAGAATATCAAGTCCGCCCCCCTTCCCCTCCCCTCCTCCCCCAAAAAAGAAGACTGTCATTAACATCTGTGGAATGAAGAGTTTAGAAGGGATCAGGTAGATTATAGTGACCCATGATGTCAGTTGACTCCTTCAGTCCTGCCTGACTAGAAATGCTGCTGCCCCTGTCAGACAGTTGGTTTCAAACTTTGAGCGAACCAGAAATGAAAGGGAGGTGCCAAGTGCAAGCTTCCCGTCTCGCCCCCCACAACCACCCCTGGCCAGTTTCTCCTCTTCTAGATATTTCTCAGTGTTGGGGGCTCGTAGCTCTTTGGTTCACTAAGTTAGGTTCACAAGCTTCCCTCCTTATATAGTTGTTCCTTTAGAAGAGCAGCTGTCCTCTCAGCTACCTTACATAACTTCAGGCTTCTGTTTGCTCTGAACATGTTAGACACATTTTGGAAACAGGAAAGATTATATCGTGTTCAGATAGCAGTCTCTAGACTGCCAGTGGTCCACTGTTGGTAAACCACTGATGTAGGTGGCTTGGACAATGCAACGAGTTATTCCAACTCTGCTTTTAATTACAAAAATTGTATTTTACAGATGAGACTCAAACTAACCTTGCCAAACACCTGCTGAAGACTGTTTGCACGGACATTACAAATCTTATTTTCAACTTTCTAGCAGCTGAATTAATGATGGCAACAGATGATCACACTGCTATTACAAGTGAAGTATGTATATGCCATTTTCTTTCCTATCATGGCAGTTTCCCCTTAAATCTATGGATGAATTAGTAACCTTTTCACCATTATTTGTGAAAGGTTATTTCAGTTATGAAGTACTGAATAATATACACTTAAAAATTTGTCTTAAAAATGATATTTTTTCCTGCCACAATAGGTCAGGAAAAAGATTATAGGTAAATTACCTGAAGAATCCAAAGGTGCTTTAACAAAACTACATGCTTCTTTGAACGGCAAGGTAAGTTGTTCCAAAAATATATATATATATTTCTGCCAACACTCAGCCAGGCTGAGGAATATGATAGGTAACTGCTGCTGTTATGAAGATTGTATGCAAAAATTTACAAGCCAGATCCTTTTAAATCAATAAAAATAAGTAAAGCTTCATACCCTCAACATTCAAAGACTAAGTAGTAAGTTCACAGTAGAAGTTGTTACTTGCGTAGCTCTGTTTACACATTGGATCCAATGTATCCCTTACATTTAGAAGAGATTTAAAATGCCATTTCTTAACCTTCAATTAAACAGCTGGGCCAGATCCTGCTCCACTTGCTAAATGCCTCAGGGCCTTGCTACACAGTAATTTTGGGTGGCTGCTGGAGCTCTTAACACCTGGAAACTGGTTTTATGTGCTTGTTATGTCGTTCAAAGTTATGCCACCCCAGGGCAGGATTAGCTCATTTGTGTTACCCAGCTTGTTACACTTGTAACTCTAGGCTACACCTTAGTGTAAACACCCTGCTCAGTACCCCAGATCCGTGCTCCCTTCTCTCCCACCTTCCCTCCCTGGATAAGAGTAGCAGCCCAGAAGCTGTGGTGGCAGTAGCCAGGCTGACCAGTTAACCTTCCCTGTATAGGTGATGCATAGGAGAGGTACGGGGGGCACATGCCCTCCCCACCCCAAGATTGGCTGCCACTCTTCCCCCCACTGCCAGCAGCAGCAGTGGGCCATCCCCGCTCACCACCATGGTCCCTCCCCAGTCTTAGGAGGCACCAGTTGTTAATGCTTCCCTGCCTGCTCCCATGGAACAGTGGGGGCAGCCACAAGTAAGTGGGGTGGCAGGGAAGAAGCCCTGGGGGGCAGAGAAGAAGCCAGGAATTGCACAGGGGTGGGGAGGAGGTAGCGTGGTTTCTTACCTTTCAGTTCTCCAGGCCCTTGCTAGTCTGAACATGTGACTGCTTTGAAACTGAAGCTAGCGCTAACACCAGTCAACATTTGAGCAGGATGCAGTATAATGTTTAACAGGGCCCTAAGTTCTCCTCTTGCTCCATGCTGTTGTTACAAAAGTAGGCAGTTAATATTTTTTCAGGGATACAGGAAGGGTGAAATAGGATTGCGCTTAGGTACCTTTAAGGCAAAATAGAGTCTGGCCTTTAATTCCTGCATCCTCTACATGAAGGAATCAAACTTATTTATATGTTTAGCTAGCAAAAAGCATAATGTGGGGGAAAAGTTGACTACAGCAGCTGCAAAACAAAATGAAAAAATTATTATTGCTTGATTTCCAAAAAGGCTTATAATCATATTTTCCTTAGTAAAAGTAGATAATATGATCTCCCTTCTTGCCACGTCAGTAATATTAATTACAAATTGCATTCAGGTTAAAATTGTTACTCTTTGGGCACATCTACATTTGCCGACTTAAGGCACATTAGCCAACGGCAATTTTAGACTATTCGTACCTAAATTTGATACTTGCAAAGCCAGGTGTCATATTTAGGCACGAATAGCTAAAATGCTTATGTACATGTAGATTGTGTAGTGCTGTGTATATCAACTGACTTGGGACTAACTTTTGTCCCGAGTCGATTTGCACACTGCATTAATGTGCCTTAGTGCGTGCAGGTGTAGACACATGCCTATAAATCACCTTAATGCACATTAGGCAAATGCACAAAAAGTTTAGGCATGCATAAAAGCACATGTAAATATGTTCCCTTTAAGGTTTAAATATATGAGCTGTTAAAGGTTTAATACAGTTTAATTTTGAACGGAATACTACTTTTCCCTTGTCACCATTGCTTATTCTTACTTTACTTTTTAGGACCTGAATGCCACTGGTTATTAAAAAAAATTGTATAGTTATTAACTGGGGTTTTTTAACCCACTATATCTGGATATAATTTTTGTACTTTTATAGAGTTTAGAAGATTTCCTTTTGTGCCTTGACTCTGCAGCAGTTGCTTGTGATATTATGGTGAAAAGGGGGGACAAAAAGAAAGAAAGGTAACATTAAAAGTTATTTTCATTGAATTGTTCAGTATGGGAAAGGTGGCACTTTCTTTCTGTACAAATTTAAAATCATTAGCTTGGTAACCTCAGTAAAAATAGATGCATGTTGTGATTTATAGCCTTTCTTTTTAAGGACAGATCAGGCGTTCATTGCCAACCACTTTGATCCATATCCTGTCCTGCCTCTACGACAGTGAAGTAGTACTACATGGCTTTCTGAGTCCTAAGTCACTAATGTATCCTATCAGTCACAGAACTAACTAAGAGGCTTAGATTTATTACGTGTCTTCAGTTCGGCCTGAACAGGTCCCTAGGCAACTTGATTTGGGTTACTGCACGTGTTCAGAAACAAGTTAAATGGCATCCACAGCATCTAATTTTGCTTGACTTTGATCCAGTTCCATCATCTTTGATTCCTTAGATGCTGAGTGGGTATTTGAAGCTGAATTCATGCATGCAGCTAGGACACACTTGCCCAGGAAATGATATCTGGACCCACCCCTAGTCAGTCAGACTTTACATTGCCCATTTACTGGGAAAGCACCTTAACCACCCAGCTCCAGGAAAGACATTGCTAAGAGCATTTCCATTCTGTTGAAACTAGTAGACTGAACGGAAGGAAAGTAAGTGTGATGGGGCATGCTCAGGGCCGAGTCTCGAGTCGGCCTGCCCACCTCTGTGGGTCAGTCTGCCCAGTCTTGCCTGCCATGACTTTGCTGTTCCCATAACTTCTGATGCCAGGGGGCGCTATCCACTGCTCCAAACCTTCCCTACACAGTGGCTTATGCCTAGCAGATGGCATCCAGAAAGACACTATGCTCCCGGCCTAAAGCCAAGCTAACTTATTCCTTTGTCAGGCCTCTTTCATACTCACATTCATCCGCCCTCTTGTCATTAGTGCTTCCCACGCTGCACCCCCTCTCACAGAGTCTCTTTCTCGCATTGACAACTTGTTCTGCAGTGCTCCCTCCTGGAGCGGTTCCCATAGGCCTTGGGGCTTTATCTGGATCACGCCTCAGGTGGTGACATGCACCCTGAAAGTTCAGCCTGGGCCTCTCCTGCTTGTGATATTATGGTGAAAGTTCAGCCTGGGCCTCTCCTGCAACCCTCACCTGGTTAGTGGCCAGCCAGTTCACCACACAGAGGACTAACTCCACTGTAGCCCTTCACTGGGGCGCTCATATCCAGCAACTTGTTCCTCAAGGGGTTGGCCCATGTGCTGCCCTTCAGGCTGTCCCTCAGCCCTACTCAAACCTCATCAGGGCCCTCACTACCGCCCCCTCTCTGGGGCTACACATCTATCCCCTCCCTGGGGCCTCCGGGGTCTTAATCCCCTGTGGGGGCTCAGGTGACCACAGAGATGTGCCTGGCCCCACCTGGGGTCTTACACCCCCTGGGCTCAGGTGGCCATAGCCATGCCTGGCCCCACCTGGGGTCTTACACCCCCTGGGCTCAGGTGGCCATAGCCATGCCTGGCCCCACCTGGGGTCTTACACCCCCTGGGCTCAGGTGGCCATAGCCATGCCTGACCCCCTTACACCCACAGTGTTGTGGGGGCTAGGGATTATTGAGGTGCCCTAACGCACGTTTCACCAGGGAGGTGAGTGGTCCTGGTTTTGAGTGGGACTGCTGTGCCACTGGCAGTCCCACCAGGCCTTCCTTCCCTTTCAGGGTGCAGTTTTAGGTCATGCCCAGAACCAAGATCCTCCTGCTCTTACCTGCCAGATGTATCATACAGCAGTTCAGCCGAGGCTGCCAGCAGCAAACTGCTGTGGTTATATAGCTGGCCTGTATTTTAAAATGGCCACCACAATCAGGCACCTGCTGGCTGCCTGACAAAGCCCTTAGAGTGGCAGGCACTACGAGCGCACAGTAAGCATGAAGGAGTCTGAGTCTGTGGCCCTTTGAAGTGACTACAGGCAGTCCTTGACTTACAACGTTTCGAATTATAACATTTTACACTTACAACGGTTATGAATTGACACTCTGTTTCAACTTTCTGATGTCAGTTTTGATTTTACGATGCTTGATCTGACGCCACACCAGCGAACGAGTTCGCTGCATCGTCCATCTCCCTGGAGACTATCTGTCCAAACTTCCTTGGACATTTTCTTTAAGAAAGCAGCCAAGACTCCAGAAAAACCTGCAGCCAAGACTCCTGAGAAGCCTCCAGCCAAGAGCCCTTCAAAAAGTCCAGCAGAGTCACCTCAAAGAAGTTCTTCCAAATCAATACAATTGCTATTTACAATATAAATACATTAATGTAGCTATATTACTCATCTATAATTGATTGAGTAAAAAATTCTGGGTTATTTTTGGTGAAAATCAGGTATTGGACCTTGGTTCAGGAACCAATCCCCCATTTATAACATTGTTTCCTATGGGAAAATTAGTTCTGAGTTGCAACGTTTTGACTTAAGACGCAGTTTTCAGGAACCAGTTTTGTCTAAGTCTGAGGAAAGTCCTGGGTTCTGAGCCCTTCTTGTGATGCTTTATGCATCTTGTGTTATGTAAATGATTTCTCCATGAGTCAGAGAATATAACAGAAGTGTATACAGCTACCCAAAGAGACAGTGGGAGATCTGTGTCATTCCTCCTCCCCCACCATCCCAAGTGGTACAGAATTGCTTTCCTGAGACAGGACACATTTTTGGGCAAACAGCTACTAAATTTTAGATAGCCGGTAGCCAGAATACAACCCAGGCTTATATCTTTAACCTGCAATATAGGGAGGGAAGTAAACATGAAACAATATTTTTGGTTTTGGAATCAATTTCTTTACATCACTTGATGCACTGAAAGGTTATTTTTAAATTTTGGGGTGGGATTTTCACAAGCTGTCAGTTATACCAATACTGAGCCCTGCTGAAAATCCTAAATCGGGATATCAGGCTCACCCTGTGATCCAAGCTAGACCTAGACTGTGGGGCTCCTTCACAGGTAGGACCCAGCACAGGGCAGCAGCTCTAGTGGAGACAGTGGTAGGGATCAGGGCAGTTTTGGAAGTGGGAATGGGGGAGGGGGCAGGGGTAGAACAAGCAGTGGTGAAACAGATGATTACAGGGAGAGCAAGGCAGTACAGCCCTTGCTCACCCTTCTGCTGCCAATGATTATGTCCACCAGGGTCACAGGGCCTCTGATTCTGCAGCAGACCATGTTATTTCTGTTGACCTGTGGGCCATATATTTGACACCCATGTCCCACACCAGTGTCAGGAATCAGTCCAAGAAGGAAAAATGAATATTATTCTATAAGCACATTTTTAGATTTTTAGCTTGATAAAGAACATTTTTACAGTACATATTTTGTTTCTCTAGGCAGGTTCTGTTCCAGCATAGACAGGCTTTGATTGAACAACTAAAAGTCACAGAAGACCCAGCTCTCGTTCTGCATCTTACATCAGTCCTGTTGTTTCAGTTTTCAACCCACTGCATGGTTCATGCCCCAGGAAGATGTGTGCCACAGATCATTGCTTTCCTAAGTACTAAGATCCCAGAGGTATTCCAGTAATGAATTTTCATCCAGTAATGTCTTTCTTTTTTAATAAAAGCATGGTACCTTTTTTTTCTACTAGAAGACATGAAAAGCTTGTGACTGCCCAACACTGAATAATTCTGGTGGATGAGATTAACTGATTTTGCTTTTGTTACTATTACTGTCTGTATATAGTATAAAACTTTTGATCTGTCTGTTTGCTGTCACTAACTCTGTAGCAAAGTGACAGCTGTAAATTATAGTGATCCATGACGATGATTCAGAGGCAGGAAGTGTCTAGATGACAGTGGTTAAAACATTGTCCTTTCTCTGAATCACTGACAGAATGGTTCCATTGAATAGCAAGATAAGTGTTCACCAGATGTTACAGGCATCTGGAATTTAATTGGATTCACATTGCAAGGGTTGGGCTTCATTCTCTGACCTTTCTGTCTCTCAAATGGAGTAAGGATACATCCAGAATTCTTCCAAGTCAGTTTTAAGGAAATGTTGCACCACGAAATTTATCAAAATCAACATCCTAATCTGCTGAAATAGTAGTTGGTCCGTGAATGGCATTTCCTCCTCCGGTAGAAAAGCATACTGTATTTGCAGTGCAGATGCATTTTTATTATTCTGTATCTTTTATTTGTGATGCACAAAATACTTGTACAAGAATATTAGGTTGTAAAATGTCTTCATGGAAAAATGTTTCCTAATGGCCATTTCTTTATGCAACATGTTTTATTTTTAATTCAGCTGTACTGTTTTTTCATAACCATAACCATTTCATTCTTTTCTTCAGGATCAGCATTCTCTTCTAGTCAGATACCAAGGATTAGTGGTGAAACAGTTGATCAATCAGAATAAAAAGATTGGGCAAGGAGATGATGACCCAATGGATAATCTAGAGGAGGAAGAAGGTGCAGAAAATATTCGAAAAGAGCTCCAAGAAGTGACAGCCTCCGTCAAAGATCTTGTCCTCAGGCCCAGAAAACCTTCTGTAACAGAGGAGTAAAGATCTAATAAATTCATCTCAGTCCACAAAACAGTCAGAATATTTTTTTTTCTTGAAGGGATAATGTTCATTTTGTTGTAGTAGTAGAGGATGGGATTGTAGGCTTAGATTTGGTAAACTTTAATGGTACTGGTGAATGCAGTATAAAGCACAACAGGTGGATGCTCATCATGGATTTGATTAACTGAATAAATTATTTAAAAATGAAACAATACTCGAGCATTCATTGTGTTTATATTACACTGCAAGAGCAATGGTAGCTACAAAGGTAAAGTTTTAAGATGGCACCTTTTTATGTGGTGCTTCAGGCACAGTTATTCTTTGATCGCACATTCTTCTGTGTCTGTCCATAGGTTCAGCATCTGCTTTTCTGACTCTGTTTGTTCTTTCTTCTTCTTAATGGAATAGTAATTACAGCAATTCATAGGTTTGTCTGGATTCACAAATATTTTTGTCTAAACCATAATTTTAAAACAACAGTATAAAAATGAAGGCTCATTTTTTATATCTTTGATATGTTTTTAGGAATATTTGGCTTTATTCTGGGCAGTGGGAGGGTTAATAATGAAGTTTGCAGGCCTGGCTTCCCAAAAGAGGAAAAATAGTGGGTGAGTCCAATCCAATTAGGAATGAAACAATCCTATATCTGTACCCATTGTTTCATTCCTAATGAATTCCACTACACTATTGTTATTTTTTAATCATTCCTTTATTAAGGAACGCTTAGAAAACTGATGAAGTAAAAATTATATGTAATTCTTTATTTGGCATTGAGGGTGGGCCTGAGGATGGTGACACAGACAGCAGTGGCTAACATAGCCTGCTCATTCATTTAGTAGATAGGCTTAACCTCATTTATGACTCTTAAAGCAGTTTCTTAAAGGTTCAATATCACATAAGGAGACCTTCTTATTTTAAAAGATTTGGAGGTGGGATTTTGTTCATCTTGGTGCACATTTCCTAAAAGAAAGTAAAATGTTGGTTTGAATCTCTGCTACATATGGTTTTTTTTGTCTGGGGCTATCCTGTTCTGAGAAGTATTTGATGTTATTTTACTGTATTTCCACCCCTTGTTTTACTTAAACAACTTGCTTTGGATAGAGGGAAGGAGAAAATAAATTGGAAAAGTATGCAAATTTGAATTCTGCAAATACTGATTAATGATAAAGTTTTTGTGTTGTTTGTGTTTATTTTTACTTTGTTTCAAAGAGGAAACTGTTTTCAAAAGTACAGTTTTAGGTATGTTAAGTTTGCATCAGCTTATGCTGCCATTGCAGTATGCAGTTATGTGTGCTTTCAGTATTCTAGATATTGCATAAAATCAAGTCTGAATAAAAAGATAAGAGAGAATTCCTGTCCAGTGAAAATAACTCTTCTATTCTTGTCAAGACCCCATTGACTACAGTCTATTGTTCAGTACCTATGGGGTATTAAACAGCCAGTGTTACTTGCAAAACCTGTATCTCCAGTAGAGTTTGTATTGGGTAAAGTTAAATTAAAATGTCCCCTAAAATGTTGTTCCAACAAATGAAAAACCACTTCACATCAAACTTGCAACCAAAATACTGCCTTTTGTCTCACCCATTTATGTATGTTTTCAAAATGAAATTTAAAAAAATAGAACTATTTATATGGCAGTACTAAACTGCAGTACTGCTAAGTATTGGTCTTGTACCAATCATGAAAGAGAGGAGGTTCATTCTCTTCTCTCCAAGCTCAGAGACAAAGGTAGTAGCATCCTAATTTTGGTAAGCATACTCCATGTTTCTTGATGAAAAAGGACAGTAAGGAGCAAAAGGGGGAAAATATTCTGACTGCTTTAACTTTGGTAAAGCAATATTGTTTGCATGTAAGAAACATTTGTCATTCAAAATAATTTTAATTTTCATATATTAAATGTAAACACTTTTATTTGGCATTGATAGCTTTTGTAAATAATATCTAATCTGACATTCTGTGTGCAAATTTACAATTATTTTAATAAAGTTAAATAATGAAATATTTAAAATGTATGTTCTGCTATCGACTTAAGTAGTGATCGATGGTCTTTATATGTGTTGCTTAGATTACAATTGCTGATATTTCATTCAATTTGTTTTATAAGTCATTTTGAGTGCCTCTATAATTTTGCCTAATACAGAAAAATTATGAACTTATTATAAGTCTTCCTGCATAATGCATTGAATGTGTTATGTTGCAGGCCTTAAAATGGAAATGATAAAAGAGACATCCTTTCAAATTAATAAGAAGGGAACAATCCAGATCCAGTGATGTTCTCTTGCTATGATAACTTCAAGGAAATTTCATTTGGGAATTAATTGTTCACTAGTATTCTAGGTCCAGAAATAGTAAAAACTGGACGTCTCAAGTGCACAAGACCAGTCTTTAGTGTTCTTAGGTAAGTGTTAGGGTGGAGGAGGAAGAGATGGTCTATTCAAAGCTCACTATTTTACTCAGTTTCTTTTTTTCTACATATGATGGGCTTGTGGATGAGGAATAGGAAAGCAGTTTATTTTTAGTCTACATATCGTAGAGATCAGAGGTTCTGTACAGAAGCTAAGGCTACCTCTTTGTGCATCAAGGAAAATGAAAAACAAGCTGCACATCAGTCTCAACATACTTAGCTTTAAATGCTAGGCGTCAGTCCCTCCCCACACCTTACTACTGTCAATGCTCTTAGTATTTACTAAGGGATGCAGTACACGTAACCCCATTCCTGATCTCAACTAAAAAGTACTTTCTTGACCTTTAAGTATAAGAATTACATCCTTTCCAGCAGTCTGATTAGAAGCGGTATCTATCTGGCTTCTGCAACTAGACTTATTCCTGGCAGACTTGCTAACAAAGCACTGCTCCCCTAGGCAAAGCTGCAGCTTTATTTTTAATACCTTCTTTCTCTTCCCCAGCTGCTTAGGAAATTTTCACTTGTATCAAATTACCTGGGAATAGTGTTCAGATTTGTTGCTGCTCCATAAATTCTCTAAGATTTTCCTAGAGAGATGAATTTTAAATGTAGCTTTATTTAAATGATAGAATAGGGTTGCAAGGCAGCAGTTCTGTTCCCAGTCTCCTCTCTTACCCCACTCACACTGCACTCTCCACAAAATGTTTGAGGGGATTGTCTGCACTTTAAAACAAGAATGTGAATCAAGGAAGTAGAGGTGCACCAATACATGGGTCCAATATTGGATCGGCACTGTTATAAAAAAAATTGACTGCATCGGAAATTGGCCTGATGTGGCCAATAATGTAGCCAATAAATGCCCCATGCATGCGTGCAGCCATAGCGCAGCGCATAGCACAGCTCAGCAGCATGGAGAGCTGTGTCCAGCTGGTAAGTCTGTTGTGGTGGAAGGGAAGGGGGGAGAGAAGAGACTTGGGGGTGGGGGTAGATCAATGCCTCCACAGTGAGGGGGGAGTGGGACTGGGGCTGGTGCAGGCACTGCACAGCCATGGCAGGGTTCAGGATGGAGCCACGGCTCATCTGGGCGGGGGGGGGG